CTGCATAGTCCATAAGTAGTGCCAAAAACACTAGCACCAATATTAAGCTTGTAAATAAAAATTTGAGTTCAGAGTATGCATGTGACTTGAACTAACGAAGTTGGCAGTAAATTGGTGCTAGTAATCACAAGATAAAAATACAGAAGTGCAGAAAACAGAATAAGAGAAATCAAAATCCTTCAGCTTGTCAGCGTGTTTTAACAGAGTCCATAAGCTTTGCCAAAAACACGTAATAAAAAAGTACATATATTTACATTGGCAGTTGTGCATTGAAAAGTAGTGTTAATAATAAAAGTAATTTGTATTTATTCCTCAGACAGATAATTTGCTTTAATTGCTAAGAAAGATAATTTAGATTTAATTCCAAGAATGGTAAGTTTTGTTGTAGATGGAATGGGCTAATTGCTGAAATTTACAAATGTGCAGGGCGAAAACTACTAAAGTTTGCTCCATTATTTCTAAATTTCATATTTGTCTGTTCATACTTCGAACTTCATGTATCTTCTTCTCTTTTATAAAATCTTTTGAAGCCCTCGTTCTGTGATAAATAAAATAAACGAACGCGTAAAACTCGCTACGATATGAATTGCATAGGAAAGAGAAGGATAGGATTGCATAGGAGCATTAATTAATATAGATTAAATCCAACAGTAAAGCTGCAGGGACATTTTGAAACTTGGTGATAAGATTAAACGAAATTAAATAATAAACTGTAGCAGAACTATTTGGATTTAATCGAGCTATTTCAGTTGCCCTCCAGCTGCGATGAAGATAGGTTTTACAAATAAATTAAGTCTCCAACACTCTAATCTTAATTCTAAATGTCAGGTGTTCCGTCTTGGTCATGTTCTGTTTTGATGTATATTTTCATTGAAAATGTTCCCGTGCTCTGTTAATAAACAGTTTCAGAGATAGCTGGAGTTTTGTGCTTATAGAAAACGATTACAAAATGTCACTGAACGAAATGTTTAGAAATTCTGTTTACAAAGCAACATTAAAATACAGATTAAATGAAGATGGAAAAATTATTTTTGGTTTTATTTTACAACATAACTCAAGGATTTTCCCATGTGTAGCGTGTATAGTCCTGGCAACACATATATATATATATTTTTTGACGTTTCACCTTTTTTTTTAGCATAAGATACTCTCTTTCTACCATGCTGAAAACTTTATAAAATCTAGATCATTTATGAAGCTCTGCCCTATTTGAGAGAATGTATTATCTTATAAAATATTTTAAATAAGTTCCGATATTTCATTTTATTCATAAATATTATATTAAGATATATAAGCTTTCAAAAGTTTATTTTTTCATAATTGACAAGATGTTAAATGTTAATTAATCATTTCTTGACCTATCTATCTGGGATGATTCAAGAGGCAGTTTCAAAATGTGATTTTAGTATCAGTAAAAGAGACATTTTCGGATCGAATTCAGCCTTGTAGAAAAATGTAAAACACTTTATTTTTAATTTATTAGATTAACTAGTTTGTGCCAAGTAACTAGCAACATATTTTATTATTTTTATATAAATGTTCTTTTATAGTTATTTAGATACTTTTCAAGTTTATTGAAACTAATAATATTTTATAAATCATTTATGAGACATTATACACTTTAAGTGTTCTTGCCGTACCTTGGCATATCTCCAAATATAAGAAAATGGCCTCTTATAGATAATTTAGATTATCTTCTAAATTCAAGACTTTTGGGAGTTTTCTGCATTAAAAGCAAAGCAGACGGAAGTTTATTGATTTCAAAATGGAACAGGAATATGTTATTCAAAATGAGAAAGAAAATAAGAAAAATCTAAAATGAAAGTGAGCAGCACAAAATTTAATTTTGTAAGATATTTTACTGTAACAGATGGGTTTTATAAAGAAAGTAAATAAATTGTTTGTAATATAAGTATCCCTTCTTTAACACGGTGGATAGGATCGCAGAAAATGCCGTGTTGTGTGAAACCGTTTATATGACACTAAACATTAATGCAAAATAGAGGAATATGCTTCGAAATCTTTTAAAACCAAAATCTTTTATAATGATTCTTAGCGTTATCTTATTTAAATTTAAACTTTTACGACGTTGGATGACATTTCTCCTTTGAAGAAACAATTCAAAATTTGTATTTTCATCTCCAAAGAAATATTTTCTTTTAAAGGTTTCTTTCTTTACATACAGTCTGGGAATGAAATATAATTTCGAGATAAGTACTTTTATAAACGACAAAGTCTATCAGTGATACATAACCCAATTTTATTTTTAAATTATTCTTCCAAAATCGTAATTACGTTACAGAGTTTGGTCTTCTTAGGTAAGATAAAATACACTAAAACTCTAAAGATGTAAGTGACTTTTCACCATGTCTCGTAAGTACCATAGACACAGGGAAGGGTGTGTATTATCAAAGTAAATCATATCAACTATATTATCAACCTCTTATCAACTCAAATAAAGGTTAACAGACGACATCAACTCGTGCTTACAGAAGCAAACAGTTATGGCTTTTCTGAAAGATAATGGATTAACTAAAACTAAGAAAGTAAGTTAGCCTAACGGCTGTGCAATTGGAATAAAGGAGTGCTCGTACCTAAGGTCGGCATAAGCAAGTCTAATGGTAAGAATAACTCAACGCTGCAGAATATTATTCGCAAGAGAATCAAACTAGCAACGTGACCTTCAAGCAGGCTGTAATTCTACCTTCTAAAACCTTCCTTGAAATACCCTCTTCTTTCTACCTCATTTGAATATTGCGCGAGCTAGAAATTTACGTTCTGGCAGAAAATGGAAATGAGAGCAGTAGGAAAGTCAATTAACATAAAATAACTGGTTAGAAACTTAAAAAAACATTATTTATGTAGTCTACCAACTGGACACTTGAAGCACAAGATGCATGTTGGGTAAATGATAGGCATGTGACAGAAATAGAGTATTCCTTAAATTTCTTCTATTTATGCGTGTGTAAATAAATACGTTGTTATTATGTACTCTACACGATGACACAATATGTAGTTTAATTTTGTAAACCTTTAAAATAAAAATCGTGTTATCTAAGTCTGTACATACGTAAAGTGTTATAAGATGTTTTAGGCATATTCATTAATAATATGCTAGAAAGAAACCGTGTAGCCGTGCTATACGAGAGTTTTCGAAATGTTTTTAATCATATAAGAGCGAAATAGTGTTGTAGGAAACCATGAGTATAAGAGGGATACCTGCACATTATTTTCTAAATTTACATTCTCATTACTTATCTTTTTCTGTTGCGAACAGAAACTTATCTTTTTCTGCTCCAACAAGATTACTAAAACTGTGCTAATGCAGAATTATGAATTGTCAGATTACCTCCAGCACATCACTTTCTTGGAATATTTTCGCTAATATATTTTGATATATGTAAAATAATGTGTACGACTGTATTATCGCTTAAAAGCAATAATGTTAAAACTATAAATAAAATTTCACACTTTGAAAGAATTCATATTAATAAAAGAACACTGAAGTGCTTTACAACATAATTTATGGTCCTTCAGGTTGCTGAAATGAAAAATGGGTTTGAATAAAATATTTATTGATAGTGGGTGATACAACATTCCGTGCTGCCAAAATATCTTGCTAATTATGAAAACATTCAGCTTTATTTTAGGAGCATTTGCAATAGTCGATTTCCAAGTAAACGTTGCAGTAAAATATGATTACCTAAATTTTAATAACTAGAAAATTCCCTGATGAATAAGCTTAGGGGCAGAAAGATAGATTTAAAGCTATTTGATAAATTAAAAATTTACGCGTATTTTGGCGTAGGAAACAATGTAAAGTGGAAAGGATTTATATTAGAAGAGGCCGAGAGGATAAAAAATAGTGGATCGTAGATGCACTCAGCTGATCAATGTATACTTTTACAGAGTATAATGCGTTGACGTACTTTTTTTATATTCTCTTATTTTATATTATTCTTGTATATGAAATATAAATTGACGAAAACATCCAGATGAAAAAGATATCTTTATATATATATATATATATATATATAGTTTTTAGAGACATTAGATTATTTTAAGCAGGAAGCATGAAAAATGAGCAATGCCCTCGCTGGGACTCGAACCTGGACCTTTCGAACACGCACCGAGTGTGCTACCGGTTACACCACGAAGGCATGCAGAAAGGAGGTAGAAAATGCCTTATAATATGTATGTATATGTAATGGTTATAATAAGTTCAGCTAATGTTATTTCATGGATCCAGTTGGTAATTAATAAAAGCTGAAATGAATCTACGTTTATTTCTTTTAATTCACATTGTTAGCTAGTTATTTAATAAAATAAACTGGAAAGAAAATATTTTGTGCTTTGTTGAATAATAAAATACTGCCACGTTGAAGATAAAAACATTTTAATTCGGGCAGTGGTGGCACATTTGTTTTAAATTGCTAGGTTAGTTTACTAAATTCGAAAGACAAAAATGTATTCTGAGTAGCAACACACTTTTTTATATAGCCACGTTTTGTGATTAAATTCGAAACATAAATATCACACGCTTTTCAGAGTGGTAAACCAAGTTTTACCGATGGCACACTGTAGTATCTGGCGACTGTTTGGCAATCAACAGAGCGTACTTGGCGCGTGTAGCCTTTTCTCCAAGAAGGGTTAATATATTTTATGAGAGTTGCATGTTAGCCTCAGAAGAGGAAGGTTGTAGATTTCGCTATGCTGTAGGAGCGACGTACTGCTCTCTGAGTTTACTATTATGCTTTGAACCATATTTTTAATAAATGTTTGTTTCGTCTTGTTAAATGGTGCTTTATTGAACCACGAAGCCATTACACACATAGTCCTTAAAACAATTTCAAGTCTTTTCTGTTGCCAAAGAAATTAGCTTGGAAGAATCCAGTTAAATTCGTTTCCAACAACAAAGTTATCTTTGTTTATAAAACTTTAGAGGAAATTTTCTCAATCTTAGGATAAAAATAACAATGAAACAAAAGTTAAGTATTTACCTAGTGTTAACTTTTCTCCTGAATCGGGAGGTAGAGTAAATCCCAGTAAAGCCATGGATGAGATGAGGACGCAAGGGATGATGAGGTTGAAGCCGTAGTAAAGCGTACGACGCCGGATGTGAATAGAGAAGGTGATATCCACGTAAGGCTCAGGACAGCAGGAGTATATGATCTCGTTACGAGTGCCGGGCACTTCTAAAAATGAAACAAGTTATAGACAAAAATATTAGTTTTAGCTGCATGCAATTGAACCTCAATGATCAATTACAAAGTTACTTGTTAAATTACAGGACTTCTAAAGCGAGTTTGAAAAATTTATAAATTTTTTTCAAGATTTTATTTTTAAATTGAAAGTTTTTTAATTTGGTGAAAGGAAAATACCATTTTATTTACATGCAATGTAATTTTTACTCTGTACTAAAGTGGTTGCCTTATGGGACTTACGCGACAAAATTTAAAACATACGTCAGCTTATTTCCAAAATGATCTGATTAGTAAAGTTTTGGTTAAAACAGAAAATATGTAACTACCTGGACGTGCAATTACAAAAAATTCCAGAAGTAAAGAACACATAGTCAGAAATAACTAAATTTCATTCTTTAAAATTTAATATTGGCATTAGAGTTGCTGAAAATAATAACGAAACAGCGTATGTTATATATAAAATTTTACAGCTTATAATTCACAATGTTTTCGAAAAATTTATAATAATTACTAACAAAATACAAATTTTAAAAACAAATAAGAAAATAGCTGTGTATTTTATTTGGATTAAACCTAAATTTTGAAGTGTGAAAGAAGGAATCCAGTAAGCTTAATAAAAAAGAGGTATTAATAAATATGTACCAAATTCAATTAACATTGAGGAGCTGACATTTTGAGAGATAATTTTTTTTTAACTATTCGTCCGATTTTTACAAAACTTGTCACTTCCGCATAATTTAAATCGTAGAAAGATAGGTATGTCATTTCAGAAAAAGTACGAATGTTAGAATATATATGTTAGAATAATAGTATAAATCATATACACATCCTGTCATGTTTTCGAGGCATGAAAAACGCAAGTTCCCAGTGCAGCGAGAGATACAGAACTGTCCCATTTTTTTGCGAGGTATCCATGCACATTTCTTCTGGGTTTATTATATTTTCATTGAGGTGCCCATCTAATTCATTTGTTTGTAGCCTTGTAAATATAATATATTCTTAGTATATTATCTGCCATGTCTATTGTGTAGCCAACTGCTTTGCCATATTAATTGAGGTCTTTTTTTAAGTGCATTTTGTTTCATTACTGGCAATACAACAAATTTACTATTGTAATGTTACGTGACTGCATTGTTGTATAGGTAAAAAATCATTCATTTTATGCAACGTATTTACTTTTTATTGTTATTTTATATCTATTTATTTATTCTTGCATTTATTTAATTTTTTCTGTTGTATTTGACATCCTCCCTTTGGACCACTGAATGTTAGAAATGGTCAAATTCTTGTTCAGTCATTTATCGTAACTTTGAAAGATGGAGTATGCAAGGTGTTTCAGCACACCGGTTACAAACTTTCAGGAGAGAAAGAGTACACCAAGACGATGAAAAATCACACAACAATGCGTAGGCGGAAACGCTTTCATGGTGCCGAAGAAAAAACACAAAACACAAGAACGGATGGACACGAGTAGGGTGAGAAAACATGTTTATTATGCTTAGTACAGCAGAAACTAACAAATAACAGTAAAAGCAGACAACAATCGTCATCAAATATGGTATTCAAAATTAGATCTGACCTTGATGCAGGCCGCACATCACCGGCGCATAGAAGATTTGATGTTCGGGAAAATATCTGGTGTATTCCGGAGTTTCCCAGCAGCTGCTACGATGCGTGCAACAGGTTCCTCAGCAATATTAATATGATTTCTTATATCAAAGTCTTGACATACTTCGAAAGGAGGTAGTCAGTGCGAATGACGTCTAGCGATCTTGTTGGCCAATTCAGCTAGACCATTCCTGCCGGTCCAATGTTGAGGATACTTTGCATTCCGGTGTTCGTACATCAACCAAAGCCGTCCCAACACTTTAGATGTACAAGCATAATAAACATGTTTTCTTATCCTGTTCGTATCCTTCCTTTCTTGTGTTCTTTTTTGTGTCGTCACTATCACTCCATGAAAACGTTTCCGACCTTTAATCGCTATCTGATTTTCCATCTTCCAACTGTATTCTATCACTCTTGAAAGTGTGTAGCCGCTGTACTGAAACACCATGTATATATAATCAGCAAAGACTGTTCTAAACACGTGCATACCAAATATTGTTACAGATGGGCTTTTCGACCGATATTTTGACGCCTAGTGATGGATCTTCCTTCCGATGGCCGAAAGAAAACTTTTATTATTTTCTCTATGTGCAAAGTAAGTGCAAGATAGTGCATTTTGTATATCTTCGTGAAAGTATCCCTTCTAGGTCTTTTGTCGGAATTAATTAACCGGTCAACTACCCTAAATAATAATCATCCTTAACTTAATGTACTGAAAAGCAAAACTGTCTGAAGATTTACCAATTAGCTCCCATTCTCCGTTGGTAATGTAGGTGGAGAGATCTCCACCTTCTTCGGAGGACAATCTAAGGTCTATTTGGTTTCCATCATATGTCCAAGAGCCGAACTTCATGTTACATTTTTGGTCATCAAAGGGAAACCATGTAATATCTATCTTGCATGTACTCTTGAAGATTCCTGGAGGGATGTACGTGCAGCTTCCATTGCTGCGTACCACAACATTCGTGTGGTAGGTCCCATCAAACTTCTCGTCTGCGCTGCAACAAAGAACAACAGGTTATTCTTTTTTACTTTTAGACATTAAAAATGGCTCATACAAAAAGTCATTGGTACTACTGTGTTCTTTAAAAATTTCATTTAAAATGTTTCATGAGATATTTATAGTAATTTTAAACTTTTCCCACTTGCCTCTATTCAATTTATATAACTAAAAGAATTTTCCAGGATTCCTACAGATAAATGTAACTTGTTGCAAATCATTGAATAGACGTGTAAGCGGCTTATCTCTATGAATAAGATGAAAGAGAACCTAAGTAGGGTGTAAAAGACCCTTTTATTCAGAACTCAAAAAAATTTAACAGAAGGCACTTATGGAGCTTACAAACCTGCCAGCATTTATGAAGTAATTCAAAAGATGAGGAATCTAAATCGTATGTTATCCAAAGGTTGCACAGAAATAAATAAGATGCAAGTTGTCTCAAGCCTATACAGGCGGGACAAGCACTATTGGCAAGAATAACGTCACGCTGATGATAGACAGCTATAATAGAATTGAAACTAGCAAGGTGGCCTTCAACAGGCGGATCACGCTCTGACAAAACAGTCTAAAATCTTCCTTTGAATACTATCTTTCTATTTCATTTGAATACTCGCGTACTAAAATTAGCATTCTGGCAGGAAAACGGAAAGAGGGAATGACAGTAAAGTTACTTAACATAAAAGTTGGATAAAATTAACAAAAACCTTACACACCGAAGATGCATTTGCGTCATTCACGTTACAGCGGCAATGGTGGCTTGAAGAAAGTCGTCCAGTAATGCCTTGAAGGCTGTGACAAAACATTTTTTCTCACTGAAATTCAACAATTAATGGATAACTGTACTCAGTACACTGAAGTCAAATTAGTTATAGAAAACTGCTAAAATAACTTCAGACATTTATCTTGTACAGGTATATCAGGTTTAAAACTTATTAAACACTTACGTAATAGTTAGTAATAATGATAATAAACAAGGGTATAAATAAAGAGCTATGAAACAGGGAGAAAGACATTAAATGACAGGGAGATGATTGATAATGATGATAGATATTATTGGGTGTTGATGCTGATGATAGATACAACAGACAGAACAACGCTGACTGAAAAACTGTAAATTATTTTACTTTGGGGAATAAAATTTTGAGATGGAGGAAAAACTCTTCCTCCGAGAATAGTAAAAACCAGAATCCATAACATTACAACTTACTTCCAAGTAATGAAAAGCGCAGTTAATTCCTTTAGACTTGCCAATATATGATATATGATATATAATATGATTTAATGATGATATGATTAATGTTTATTAATACTGATATATAATATGATTATATGATACAAAATATGATTAATGATGTTATGATTAACGATTATTAATATTGATATAATATTGATATATAATGTGATTATTCAAATAAGAATACAGAGACTGTTCGCACATTTTTAGACGATTTTGCTATGCTATAAAAAATTAGTCTGCCTGGAAGTTTGTTTTTTAACTTCAGCTATATTTTTGAAAGTATTAATTATCATCTGCGTATTGAAGTTTTGTTTTCATGCAGAACACCGGTTTTTGAAAAAGCAATGGGTGGAAGGCTGTCTGTGTGCTCTTTGCGAAGAAATTTATTCGTATCTAGTTATTATAAAACACCGTGAAAAACACGCTTTTCTGGTATCTAAAGCTACCATAGGTAGATAATATTGTCAAGAAGAATGATAAAAAAGTCAAAGTTTGGCTTCAAGTGAAAAATTGTTCTAAATAATATCCAAGTTAAAAAAAATTAATGTTTAAAATTTTGCAAATGGGAGATTTTAATGTTAAAAGAAACTCCGCCAAGTCAAAGGACAGTACCAAAATCATTAAAATGCTCACTGCCAACTGTAAACAAAGTGATTAATGCTGATTTGAATCTTCAAAAGGCAAAAAACATAATATGCGTCGTCTTTCTCCACGACATATCGCCGAACGCAGAACTCACCTCAGAATTCTTTACGAGAAACATTTTCCAGACAAAAACGTAAAACTTTTGTAATAATAGGCGACTCTTGCTTGTGTTTAAATCACTGTAATAAAAAGAGATCCATTATTATCATCAAAGAGGAAAAAAAAATCTTAAAACATGGATCAAAGAATCTGAAGAAAGTTTTACGTGGATGTTCAACCAGTGTTGTTGTTTTGTCATATAACGGCAAATTAAAAATAAAGAGAGTGGAGGCAAATGTTGAGATCAGTTCCACATGTTATCAGGAACATATCTGATACCTAATTTTAAAGTATGAAATCCTTCTCTTTAGCTACAGTGCCATTCATCAGTAGAACTGCATCAATGTGAAGCAAGCAGCCACACGTCATAATCCATTGTTAATTTACAGGAAAAAATGGAAGAAGTAACGGGTATCAAGCCCCAACCCTACTAAATACCAGCCCTCTACTAAATTATTATGATCTATCACTAATGGGTTTTTGCGCTTTTGGACTTTTAAAAAGCGTATTGCCGAAAGGTCGACATACAACCATCCTTGGACTATGGAAAGCTGCTTAAGCGTAATGGAATTAATACCTCTTTTGACATTACAAAAGGTTCTATTGTTTTTGAAATTACGATGTATAAAGATAGTAAAGAATAACGATTATCAAACAGAACATTTAAAACACAAACTTTTAGGTAAAATACTTCTGTAAATACAAGGAAAACCGTCTAAAAATGGGCGGACAGTCTCTGTGTTTTGTAATATTTTGGTAACAATAATAGCACAAAAACATATGTAATGCCGTTAACTTTGCGACGCTGACTGCCGTACCGAAGGGCTCGGGTTCAAATCCCTGCGAAGGCATGGATGTTTGTAAATGGGAAGCGTCTGTGCGGCATGGGGGCACTCTAAATATGCAGCGAACCGGAAGTCTTTTCGAAAAGATGGTGGTCGGGAAAGACGTATGGGAGACCAAGGTAAAGTGGGGATCTCACCAGTATGGTGGTGAAGGCTGTTGCCAACGGCAGGCTCATTTGGCTCCTTGCCACGATGAATGTCCTGGACATGTGTTGACTTTAGTCAGAAAAGGGAGATTGGTAACAACAACAACAACAACCCATTTTTTTATTATCTTAACTTTACCGCTATTTCTACGCATCGTCAATTCTTACTAAGATACAAATTAGATAAGAGAACTTTTGAATGTTAGAACGAGAGCTATGAAAGAAATACTACCCATTGTGCCAAGTCTTAGCTCTGCTTTGACTTCAGACTAGAATTAACCTTTTGCTAGCCGAGCTAGCTGCTCTCAGTATTGATGAGATTGCATTTGTGAATCTATAGAGTTAAATTAGTTTCAATTTTAAATTACAGTTTTATGCTATTTGAATCCCGCAAGCTTCGGATATTATTCTGTAAGCTCAAGTCCAGTTCTAATTTTTAAACAAAAAGGTTTATTTAAAAATTCGTCTGAGTTTGGTCGGTTTAATAGACGGGCGAAAAGTCAACTGATGATCTTAATAAGGACCAGGATAGATGAATAAGTGACTGGATCCTACAACTGCACATTTCGCGATGATGTTTCAATGTAACTGTCATCAATGAAGTGTTAGTAATGACAATTTGCTCTTATGATAGAGTTTAATAAAGCGGAACTGATACAAATTTGCCTCTGAACTGCAAAATGATAATGATGTTGATGATTTCGTAGATCGTTGCTTGTTCCATCTAATTCTAATCCCGTCTCAAGTTTAAATGCGAATCCTGTAATCTTCCTCTTCTCTCTGGCTTTATTCTGAGTAGGTTCTTGTACAAGATGACAGCGAAATCGTCTTTGCTAAATCGAAGAGCATCAGCTTTCCGAGAGTTGTGTGTTAGGAATAATAGTGTGCTTGACATGCGTCCTATTTGTCCACAGATGTTGTCTTTCCAAAGGAATTAAATTCAGCTTTCGGTTATTGCAATGAAAATAATAAAATTAATTGGAAACAGCTCTGATTCATTGCTGATCTTAGCAAAAAGAGTAACACGAACTAATGAACTAATAAAATTGTTCTTCATGACTGCAATAACACAAACAAATAAGAGTGCAGTCTACGTAATTAGGAAAAAACGGAAAAACAGGTATTTAAAAAATTATGTCATCAAAGACGATGACAAAAAAATTAAATAGATTTTGCATCTACTTTAAAATAGTTTTATTCTTTTCTAGTTTCCTTTGCACTTTTCGAATATTTATGATCTCAGAATAAATCAGCCTTCACTTCCAAAATAACGTCTTCTAAGAAGAATGCCTACCTGTTTTTCTCGAAATTTAGAAACATATTTCCAGGAATTGAAAGTAATTTTTTATGCAATTTCTTAAGGTTTCTCGTCTTATTTTTTTTGGAATTTGATTGAAAATATAAAAGTAAAAGAAAACTGCAAGTAATATTTTTAATTATAAGATTATTTTTAAAGTTTATTTTCGGTAAGAGTTTCTTAAATTAAATCACATTTTTTAAGAAAATTATGTACTTTAAGATCTTCCACTGCATCGTAAAGCAAATATCTGTATTGTTAATCTTTCAGTATGTGCACTGCACAATAAAATTATGAGGTTTTTTTTATTTTTTTTATTTATTTATTTGTTATTTTTTTGTTCTATTGAAAGATTCTATTTCCAAATTTATTAGCATTATTCAATTTCAAGAGAGTTTTTGAAAGTATTTCAGCATCGGTTTTTAATTTACATTATTTGTTTTAAGTTTTATATAAAAAATATTCTGCATACAGATCTGAAAGCGCTGAAAAATTTTAAATTTCCAAAAAGGGTTGTGTTAACATATTGTCCTCTTGACATGGCTTCAAATAATTTAACCTAGTTTATAAATGAATATTCTGAAATGTCCTATACGATATTGCATTTGGCACAGGAATTCTCACAGGTGGAAAACTCATAGATTCAGTAGAGGAAATGTGTAAATCTTACATTTAAATATTAATTTTAGTTTATGAATATGAAAATCTACTTTATTCACGTTTTGGTATTTCAAGCATTTCCTATATTCTTTTCGCTTAATATATATATATATATATATATATTAAAACCTAGAAATGATTTTAATCTAAATAAATGCACATATGTGCATTTCAAGATTTGAAAAGGATGGGGATGGTCTTTTAGTCATGGTGAAAGGGCTGCATTGGACACAAATGACTATGACTTTTAATTCTTTTCAAAAATTAAAGGAAAATAATGTTTCTTTCGTATGCAAATGTAATCACATTCCATACCGTAATACCTAATAAGTAAGTCTTAAATTTATGTGAATAGTATTGTTACGAATTTTGTATATATGTAAATAATTTTAGTGAAATTATATGTGAAATGTAGTTTCTTTTGCATAATATAACACGAAGGGTCTAAAGTAAGAGTGAAGCTCTGTCAGAAAAATAAGATTACAAGGGCTAAGCTATTTGACATGGAGGTAAGTGGATGTCTGGCTAAATTGGCAAGACATCGCCATGCTAGCGTTGGCTTTAGCAATTAATTCTTCAAATTTGGCGAGAAATCGCACTATTTGGCGATAGTTTGGTTCAGTACTTATATAACTGTAATTGCTACTGCAATTGAACTCTATATGCAACTGCAACGGTATACGACCTTTATTTGTAACTAATCATATATGCCCTCGAGTAATTTCGAGGAATGGAAGGCAATGAAAATATCTATGCGGCCAGTGACAAACTGTATAAGACTGGAGCGAGCATCTGTTTTTATTTCAGAGTTGATTTCGGAGTACTGAGGTATCGTACAAGCTTAGATTTTTACATGCGCTTCGCACTCCGTTGGGGTTAACGTCCATAGTAGTCTGAAGTGGCAACTATTGATTGTGATATCTTCTATTGCGAATAGCTGTAGGAGTAATTTTGTGAACTTACCAAGGCTCGTGGACTGGAGGAAACGACGTTCTCCAAAGTCCTCATCTCCTTTCTTCTTGCTTAAAAGCAAGATTGTTAAAGATTGCTAACGAGTAATTTTGTAGAAAGTTCCTGAATTGTAAAGTGTTTCTTTAGGTAAATTATATCAAGCTATTATCTGGTCTGTGTGCATTCAATCCATAATGATCGTAACAGTAGCACATTTGAGCTAAGATCCAATGAACACATTTCTTGTGCAAGTATAGCTCGAGTTCACAAATTAATTTATATAACGCGTCATATCCATTTACAAAGTTGAAGATCATTTTACATAAATTTATAAAACATTCTTCCGATCTCTGATAAAAATGCATAATATCCTGAGGAATATACGTTTATAGAATTATTATATTTCAGGAGACTTACCCTGGATTTTTATTTCCTGGATTTTTTATTCCTTTTATAACCCTGGATTTCAGTCCTAAGAAAATGTTTTACAATGCGATAAAAGAGGCTTAACATAAAAAAATAAACGCAAAGAACTCGATCAATAAAGTATTTGAAATTTTGAAAAATTGAATTTTTTCTTGAGTAACTATACTATGAATATATAGAGGATTCGAAGAAGTATTGATGATATTATCAACTGATAAATCAAATATGCTTGATTTTATCTTAAATATTTGCACACAGTTTCGGAATAATTCCTGCTTCTAACTAATGATTTCGTCTTCAAATTTTTACGATACCTCGTTTAAAAATCCTGGATTATCTTTCCAGCCCTTGCCGTAATTAGGAATTCTGGACTGCCCGGGGCCAATCCTGGACAACTAGTCGCCCTAGATATTTGTGATATAACTTACGCGAATGACCTCATTATCGAAAAATGATTTATTCTGAATTCATTGCTACTTCCCTTAACTTAAAATTTTAATGGTGAAGTCATATGAAATTTAATATCAGTTCGATATTTTTTCGTTTTTTATTAAACCCAAAAAATATTATTTGCTTCGAAATGGGATTTTGCGTCGGTTCACTATAAATGGCGTATCACTTTTCAAATTGTTGATCTTGTATTAGTTGAATCAGTACCCACCAAATCTTATTTCCCTGTTTATTTTTAAAGAAATTAATGTGTGTTCCTCGTAGTAAGAAGAAACGACGGTACGTAGAGCTATCAAGTTTTGAATTGCATAGAACGCCACTCGAACATGGGCACCTGGAAGGCCGAATTTTGAATTTCTAATTTCTTTTATTATTTATTTCATATTTTGTAAAATTTTATTGAACTTTTTTATTAACAAATTCAATGATTTTAAAGCGAGAAGAGGCATCACTGTTCAAAATAAAATATTTTTATCTCCAGCGCGAGATACTATTTCCATTCAGTAAAAATATAAGTTATTTATTTTTCAGTTTACTTATTATACTCGGTTCAATTTGCCATTCAGTAAAGATACTTTCAAATTTAATATAGAAAGATACTTTCAAATTTAATATATAGAAGGTCAATGAGTAAGAAATTGAGCGATTTAAAAGCAATAAACACAATTCTTAAGAATATTTGTTTATTTCTTTAATGTGATTGATTTAAATAAACATTTATTAAAATCATGAGGTGTCTAATTAGAAACATTAAATATTTTATGAAATGACACTAGCTGAATTTATTTAATTTATTATACACTTTTTTTTCTCTTTTACTATAACTGCTTTAGGCGGCCGGTTGCTTGAGCGGCTAGTGTTTAAAGAAATAATATACAAGGTATAAAAATACGCATGGGAACCTCTAATAGCCTATCAGGAAGTCTAAAGATATGATGTTTTTAAATACCTTGTGGTTTTGCTGTTGAATCGAATTTTATGTAGCGAAAGCGCCAAGAATGTGTTATTTAATAAGTAAACATACAAAACGTTAATAAGAAAAAGACAAGCAGTTTTGTAAAGCCATCTCAGTAAGAAAATTGGGCATTGATGCGATGAACTGAGAAAAGGTTTGAAAAAAAAAAAAAAAAGAAAAATGTATGCCAACACTTAACTCTTCCTCGGGAATTCTAAACGTGTACTGCTATGCTGCTTTTAAATATCTGTAATTTTGCAGTTGAATTGTGTATGGTGTATATGCGAATAAAATGATGCTTAATAATAAGTTAAAAAGACAAAAAAGAATGGGTTAGACGCAGTGAAAGCAAAAGCAGATTGATAGCCTGCGAGCTTCTGCTACAGTGTAAAAATTCTTAAAAAACACTTTTAGCTACCGTTAAAAATCTGAAACCTTTCAGAATTTTTAACTTTCAACACCCATTCCGGATTTATATTTTTAACTTGATTTTTGTTTGCATATGTGTAAAGTATAGGTTTCCTCCCAAGTTCCTGAAACATTCAAAGAAGAGTACTTTCCAAGAATTTATATCCTCAGTAAAGTTTGCCTAAGGAAAAGTTAGTTTCTGGGAACGAACCCGAAAGAAGTTAAATGCACCGAAGGTTATAAAACTGCCAGTAGAAAAATAGCACAGAAGGAGGCAATCAGCATTCCACTTTCTATAAATAAGATTTAAGGAATGTCTGACCTGTTGTACATTAGCACATCCGGCTTCCAGATTCTCCAGGGAGGAATCCTAAGATCTTTTACTCCACCGTAGTCACTTGCATTCCATCGTAAGTTCACGTCCACCCATTCCTAAGGAGACACAAAGTGATGACATTTTGTTAATACATTGTCTGGGAATTCAAAAGAAAGCAAGGATGGGTAAATTTGGGAACGCCTTTTCCTTGCCTGCTTACGAAATTCCATAGAAAAGAAGCCCTTTGCTGGATGGACAAGAAGTTTGAACACGTGATGGGTGTGCAAATAAATGAATCTTTGGCATGAACTTTGAAATGACGTATTCTATTGTGGAAATCTTTTGCGTTTAAAGTAGGAAATTTATGTAAGAACGTACTGTTCGATATTTAAAATATCTTACATTATTTTTTACTCTCAGTTCTGAGCTGCATTATAGATATACATAGTTGTATTCTTAGACATGTATTTTTAGTAACATTTCGTTAAATTAATTGCATGATTTACTTGCGCATATTGCGAGATTCAATAAATTAATTACATAATTTACGTACGGTTTATTAGGTATAATTTAAACAGAAATTAGAATAGCATCTTAACATAAATTAATAAAAAATTCAAAACATAATATTTCTTAAACAGGCTTTTATTTAACTAATAATGAAATAATAGAAAAATAATTTATCACAGGTTATAATGGGAACAAAGATATTAAATATTTATCTTTGCGCAATTCATCTATAAATTCATATCACGAATTAATAAAAGCTTGGGACTTCTTTAGTAAATTTATAAAGTTAATGAATTTGAAAATGAAACTCGAATATGCTCTCAAACTTCATTATTTAGTCTCATTACCCTATCAATCAAATTGTTCAATTATGCATATAATAAATTTTATGAATGGCACAATTTTAAAAATTAATTTCTGCATATGTACTATATGATCCTTATATAGCATTCAAGATGCATGTGTAACATATATATGTATATAAAACAGGCAAATCGACAACCCTGTATTCGGCGTAGTCTTTGTTAAATCCCAATCGATTTGCCTTCCAGCAATGTCGAGAAATCGAAGGTACTGGAAATATCTCGGTGGACGGAGAATCTGAATAAGACCACAGAGATCATCAGTTTAGTTTTAGTTCAGAGCTGAGTTCAGAGTTTAATTCAGAGTATTGAGAGTTACCCAGGGATCAGTGCACGAGCTGATGCATTTGAAGTTTTTTGTGCTTTCTACGGTTCTAGTAGTTTGAAGCTGTAACTACTGAATGTACTCTGTCATACTAATAAGAGTTGTAAAGTAACATTTGAGAAAAGTTCCGGGACTCTAAAGGTTTCTTTTGGGAAAATAAATTTTATCAAGCGATCAGTGGTTCTGTTTGCATTCAGTTCAAAACGAATCCCTACGCACGAAACTCTATTAACTCATTTTTTGGATGCATCATTATTTTAAATAAATAAAATATTATATGATATTTAAACTCTGTTCGCGTCTAACGAAAAAAAAATCATGTCTAAGTTAAAGCAATGCTTTATTTGTAGCAATCGTTTACACATCGTTTTCAGCAATGGTTTGAGAATCAGAATTTGAGCAATGCTTGAGCAAAGTTTTGAGAGCCATCTGTAAGTTCCATTAAGTACAAACTCTGAAATTATTTCAATGTATAGTATATTCGCTTCTTTTTTAAGGGTAAGAAACTGATATGTTTCAGCTCAAGAAATATTAACAATAAATAAATTTCTAAGATTTATAACCATGTAGAGACTATTAGGTTATATCGAAATAAGAGATGAAAATGAGCAACGCCATCGCCGGGAATCGAACCATGGATCTCAGGAATACGCCCCCAGCGTGCTGACCACTACACTATGAAGGCATGCTAAGAAGGCGGGAGAAATACCCTATATACTCCCCGTTTTAATGTGCGACTGTGGTTTTAGGGGACAGAGTCGCCAAATTATGGGTGTAGAGAATCATCATCCACTGGCCTTTTAGTTCGGGCGCCACTGTAGAGACATTAAGTATTATTTTGGAAAGCCGGAGAGATGAAAAATTAGCAACGTCCTCGCCGTTAATCAAACCACGGACCTCTGGAATACACGCCCAGCGTGCTGACCACTACACTAAGAAGCCATGTTAAGTAGGCGGGAGAAATATCTTATAACCATAACTCTTACCTTTCAGAGTGTTTAAAAGGTATTTCACTCTTGAATACCTTTTGAAATGCTCCTCGTAAACCCTTCTCGAGTTAAGGAATAAGTCATTAAGATAAACTTTAAGACTAGTCAGTGTGGGTTATGTTACATCTTGTAATTAAAAAGACGAAATTAAAATTTTTATTACAAGTCAATTGAAGAAATCCACTAAAATGTGTTTTGTTGTTACAAAATAGAAATGGCTAAAGAAAAGCATTAAGAAAAGTATCAATCATTCCTTGCTTTAATGTTGGGAATCGCATAAAAATGCTGTTAAAGTGACTATGCACTTAAGCATTTAAAAGATATTCCTTAAAATACTTTATTGCCCAGAAAACGAAATAACATTTTAAATTTTATTTTCCATAGTTTAATTGCTGTGTGGCTTCTAAAACCAACGGTTCCTTTTTTAGTAGATTATTTACATTATGGCGGAGCAATCAAAACCTACCTGGCTAAGGAGAGGGATACTTAAGATAAATCGACTGGTATTCACATTATACATGGGGAAAAGCACGCAAATTCACATGCAGATAGCCGGAGTTTGAAGCCGGGCCAAACTGTAAGTATTCAGCAATTTTATCCCTCATCCGTCTGCGACTTTGTGCCCATTTTTAGTTGTTTCTGTAAATGGAATTTATATTCTCGTCTCCAATTACTTGTTTCCTATCACAGGTACTCATTTATGACTGACGATGATATTAATTGCGTAGTTTTAGTTCAAATGTTTAAGGCCATTTCCAACATATTAGTTCCCCGTTTCATGTTAAATGTAAAAGCGAGAGAGATACAGAAATTTTAATACAGGAAATAAAGAGAAACGACGTTATTTTAAAAGAAATTATATTTATAGCAATCATGTGTAAATATTTAAATCGTGTAAATATTAAAGTTTCATATACTTAGAAGATGTCGTAAAATATTTTTATATAAAACCGACATTTTAAAATTTCTTTCGCAAACAGTAATCATGAATTTGCTCTCGGCAATTCAGAAGGCATTTATTTAAACGTCCTATCGTTCTCAGTTGCTCTGCATTACAATTTATGACACTCTTTCGTCAAATGCATCGCACATTATGGTTAGCAGCCTAAGGGGAAGGATGCCTACGTCAAAGATTTTCTTAATTGACCTGTCTTCTGCACAATATGCACATGAAAAAAGATACGAAATCATTCATGCAGTCAGCCGGTTTGTTGGGACTTTTAGTCGAATGGAAGTTATTCTCTTTAGCTGTCTCATTCTTTTAATTACATCACACGGACCGATCTCTAAAATTGCTGAATACAGGGTCTTTGACTCGAGTTCAAATCTCGGCGAACAGGATGATTGCACGGAAGTTTTCGAGGTACATTAGTACCTCCTATAAGGGACACTCCGAATAAAGTACATCTCCGTTTAAAGGATAATTCTTTTGGTCCCAGTCCCTTTAAATAGGGACCTACATGTATTTTCCTGATACCACCTGACAAGGCACAGGGATCTCACAATGTGGATAGAATTAAGATTTTATCAATCCTAGCTCTTGCTAGGACTGACGAACAAAACCTCCTTGTACTTGTGAATTGTTTTTACATATATTATCTAGCATAGCTTCAAAGAGGAAACGATTAACAGTAAAACAAAAAAATGATGTAATTCACGTATCAGAAATTGGAAGGCTTGGGCTAAGAAATTTAGGGCAGAAATTTGGAATAATAAAAAACCGAGAAATTTGTTACTAAAGAATAGAGAAGAATTAGAATTACTAATTCAAATGAGTATTTCAAGACTGTAAAATAAAAAAATAAAAAAAAAATAAAAAAAAAACTAAAGCATGTAAAATTGATACAGTAGTGTCTCATTGGTTTTGTTTTTTAAGAGCAAGCAATAATCCTGTAAATGGAGTATTATTCTAAAAAAATTCGAAAGAAGCTTCTGGGACTACAGAACATTAAAGCATAAGGTGATTGGCTAGATAAATTTAAGCAGAGACGTAACATTGCTTTTACGACTATTTGCGGTGAAGAAAATTCAGTAGATATGCAACATGTAACAGAACAGATTAAAAAAATAGTGAAATCTGTGAAGGATAGGAGTCTGAAAACTTTTACTTATCACAGAAAACTAAATTATTTTATCGAATTTTGCCTAATAAAAGCTATGCTTGAAAGGAGAAAAGTGCTGTGGTGGTAAAAGCTCCAAGGAAGATTTCGCTGTGCTACTTCGTTGTAACATGAAGGAGAGTTTCAGCAGCTATTTGTAATTGGAAAGACCAAAAAACCAGGATACTTCAAACACATCAATCCAAAAGTTTCATCGAAATATTGGCATTAAACTGAAAATTCATGGATAATACAAAGCATAGTGACAAAATGTTTGATTGCTATTTGCAGGAGAGTTTCAGCAGCTATTTGTAATTGGAAAGACCAAAAAAACCAGGATACTTCAAACACATCAATCCAAATGTTTCATCGAAATATTGGCATTAAACTGAAAATTCGTGGATAATACAAAGCATAGTGACAAAATGTTTGATTGCTATTAATGAAACAATGTCTAGGAAAAAATAGGGAGGTTCTACTATTTCGTGACAATTCGCCAGTTCACCCATCAAATATAAAACTGAAATCAGTGAAAGTATTGTTTTTTCCACCTAATGTAACATCTGTATTACAGCCTTTGGCCCAAGGTATAATTAGGAGTTTCAATGTAGATCACAGAAATCTCTTTTTACGCATGCTCTTCGTCAGACTCTTCGCAGAAATAGCGATCAGCTTGCGAAATGCGCCCATGTGTTGAATGCCTTTCAGTAGATAGCAAAGGTTGTTAAATCCATGTCATAAAGTTGTGTTCAGCACGTTTTAAGAAAGCAGGTTTGAAAATTCTAGTTTTGAGTGCCCTGAGTGAAAATACGGATGAAAACGATTTGTTTG